CCCAAAATACTTCTCTGCTAAAATTGATGATTATATCAAAAGTATAGCTATAGTTAATAATTCCCCAATACAATAAAATAAAACGATCTGTTGTCCGCGACTTCGTAGATAGGTAGTTGTGTGTTCTCCCAGTCTATGTTCTATATACCAAACTTCACCGAGATCTAAGAACATACAATCTAAAATAATACATTACTCTAAAAGGAACGGTTATTAACATTGAAAAAGCATTGCGTGATGTACGATAGCCGAAAAATGTCAAACTTTACAGTCGCTTACCCAAACCTATGACGAACGCGTCAATGCAATCTGACCTTGGCAAGGCCATCGATGCATTGAGTGCAATTGTTGCGACGCATTGGTTATGAAATTATTATGCACTGTAATTTCAATGGCAAGCCAAATACATTTTTTTATCTACATTAGACTGTCGCTAACTTTTAGTGCTTTTTAAGGCAAACAGAACTCGTGGTGTTGTATGATCTCCAGTAGAAATTGACAGAATACTTTCCTTGAAACATATTTATGTTTTTCTCTCGTAGTTACATTTGTTAATAGCATAAGCACTTCAGTAAGGTAAACTAATTTTCGTCTTAGCCATAAGTTTCTTGATTTAAATCCCATTGTAATTCTGTTTTCCTATTCGTTTTATCAAGATTGCAACGAAGTTATGAACATTAACTTTGTTAATGAAAGTTTAAAAATGATTACCACAATTTGAAAAAACCAACAAACTCGAATATATATGAATTTTTGAAACTCGTAAAACGTGTAATTTGTGATACATAACTTTTACTGCCTGAGTAAAATGTTCACAGAGCACAGAATGGTTAAAATTGTATCCCATAAGGATTTCAAAAGATCATACTAATATTATAAATGCGAAAGTTTAGATGGATGTTTGTAAGAGTTTGTAGCCTTAATGGCTTAACAGATTTCGATGAAATTTAGAATAGATGTATCCGATAGTTTGGAAGAACACACTTTTGTTTCTTTAATTCCACGCGGACGGAGTCGCGGCTATAATCTAGTGGGTCATAATTTTTCAAACTAAGTATGTGTATGTGATTAAGCTTTTGAAATAATTAAAACTACAAGTGGTTTCTGTGTGTGACAATGTCGATGGCAGATAATGTAAAACGTTGTTGAAAAGCAACACTTACGAGATACACTAATATCGATAAAGCAACAGATAATTCACTTGAACTCCCATTAACAAAACATATTACCACAGAGTAGTAAATTATTATAGACCCATTATTTAAATTATATCACGGTAATATAATTAAAACTAGCTGTTACCCGCGACTTAATCCACGTAATGTTAAGAAAAAAAAGCCTGTAATATGCCCGTCTATGTCGGCTACCCTTCAGTAAAAGTCCGGTCGGAATCGGCTCAGCCGTTTCGGGGATTACCCGAAACAAACGCGGATAAAAAAAAAATATGATTTTTGTTATCAGCAACGCAAATACATCATCTTCCTGAAACCTCCTCTGATATCACAAATAGACACTCCAATTTTATTATACGAGTATAGAGGACAGACAATAATCATCCATTTACATTAAGTGCTTCTATGATCCGAATACTCTATGATCAAATTGATAGGCACCGATTTTTACTTATCAGTAGATAAGGCAATAAAAATATTACAACCGTGTTATCAGATAACCGGTGGCAGTTGTTTTTCGACATAAAAAGTTGAGTGACCGCGTCGCCGCAACGGCGAAGACGACAGGAAATAGGGTTAAACGTGCGTCGATAGTAACAGAGAATTCATTGTAATACCTTATCAAGAAATAAATATTCAATACCGGATTTAACACTATCCAATGCCCTGTTCGCGAGTTCTTCGGCGATTATTTTACTATGCCTTAGGGATATGTGACTTACTATCCACCGCCCTAAGTTTAGCGCTGGTACTTTGGATATTTCTTCAAAGGCCAGCAACGCATCTGTAGTTCCTCTGGTGTTGCGAATCTCCATAGGCGTCGTTGACCACCTCTTTGTTCTCGCAGCTCCATTGACCCGTTTTATTATAAAAAAAAATTAAAAAAAACACCCGGAGCGATTTATTTTTCTATTTTTTTTCTAACGTATTGAGGCAACTATTTATATCTTGTTCGTCCAATTTTTGTCTGATAACACTTTTAGGTCTAAGATTTATTGGTTTGCACGTATTCTGTAGAATTATTATTGAACCAAGGTCTTACAATATCGTGAGAAAATGTTTTTTTGTACGGAATATTATCACATTTATATAGCTGAATTGCGGTTGAGTTTGACTCAATAGAATTTTCAATGTCACGGTGTTACCATGTAGAAAAAACTTCACTTACCTATGTTAGGAAAGGCAAGAAATGCTAAAAAATATTTGTGTAATAACCCAGTAAATTAAAAAAGTTGCTAATCATGTTTTAATATCTGATAATAAAACGTTATTACAACATACACTGATAACTATTGTTATGACATTATTATGTTTTTTCGTACTCTAAATCCTACCGACAAGCAATATCCTTGGCATACATTTTTTTAATATCTAGAATACTATTTTTGGTGGGTTGGTACACTATTATACTAATAAGTTGGTAACATTAATTGTGAAAATGAATTAACAAATTCATACGGTTGATAAATGACCATTACACGACCTTTGTTGTACCGTATTGATCCTACGAATTTTGATGTAAAAATGACTTATTATGAACATTCGTGAGAACGTTTTTGTCACATCATCAACAAAATTTGTATTTAGAAATGTGCAGTTTTCGGGCGAAAAGTACACCAACAAATCTCGTACTACAAAAATGTTCATGGTAGACCCTCTGATTCGAAGATTGTACGCAGCATATCCTTTCTCTGTCACACTTATAACAAACGTATATATTCATCTCGCTCTAATAACAAAAATTGAGATACCAGGAGCTGATAACATATGCTGAACATACCTTTAGGAATAAAATGTACTATAGTTAAATTGTCACCAATCGGTTAAAATGCACAAGGTCCTGAGGTCTTGATTAGATAAGATAGTATAATATGTATGTAGTTATTTCTCGATCGGCGTTGAGACTAATTATTTATTATTGCATAATTTGTTAAAGTACACTGCAATAAAAAGCATACAGACAATACCTCCTTCTTTTGGGAAGTCGGTCAAAAATTAGGGTTCTGTGGGCAGTGTGTACATTTTGCAGTTTTGTAACTTCAAATCAATTTATTGATATTTTTTTAATATTTCGGCTCATTTAATACTAGCTGTTGCTCGCCACTTTGCCCGCGTGAAGTTAAAAAAAATATAGCCTATGTTACTCACAGATAAATTACCTTTGTAACGGTGAAAGAATTTTTAAAATAGGCCTAGTAGTTTTTGAGTTTTTTGAATACATACAAAAATACAAATCTTTCCTCTTTATAACATTAGTACAGATGAAAAGAACTTTAAAGTAGTTAAAAGTTTAATCTGTTAATAACCTGCTACTTTCATTGTATATAATTTACTTAACAAAATTAGCTACGCGCAGACAAAACAATGTAATCTCGTAACACATAAGTGCCACTTAACCGGCTCTTAATACTCTTGAGACGAATTCAAAATGTACGATCATTGTACAGCCGTCACTTGTTCAGAGCTGTCATTGCTCCCGTTGTTAGTTATTTGACAAAACCGGCTAATGCAGTAAGTAGAAAATAATACATAATGTTAAGAAAAAAACTGGTACTGCTTTGTAGGATTGCCCAACACTAGATTGTCGGCATAGACGTCGCATCCCTATCTGACAGCTGTCAATGTCATTAGAATAGCGCGCCATCCTGGCGGAATCATTGGCTCTGAGTGTTTTTAGTTAATTACGCTAGTTACAGTTATATTAATGTCCTTTCAGTAACTAGAATTTGCCTCGAACCCTTCTCGCGGTATTCAAAAAGAACCTCGCGAATAATAATAAGGTTATTCCAGACAGTAGTCTACATCCGTTCCTAATTTCATCTAGATACAAAACAGTGGAAAAAGCCTTTTTAATGGTCACTTAGTTTTGTCTCGGTGCTGATTTTTCTTAATATTTAAGTTAAGTGTCGATTTGGGAATATACCTGATTTTTTTGGTGCAAAAGTAATCCAAGATATTAGTCGTCGTTTGATTTCTTGATGGGTTAATAACCTAAGAATAGATTATGTTTTTAATATATGATAATTATATGCTCAATCTTAGGATGACCGGATTGCACTGAACATTGCTCATTGTGTTTTATAACGGAACCTTTGTTTGCAATTACAATGCTATTAGAAAAAAACGTGCCAAATGCATTTACAAATTTTGTCTGTCTAGGTTTTTGTCTTTTCTTTGTGCTCTATCTTTGTGCTGTATCTTTTTAATATACATTTTAGTTATTATGATTCAACGCACCTAACACAATAATAATAATAATTACGACTACTGTCTATGTTCGTATTTTTATTCGTCTACTGTTCAAACAAACAGATTATCTTATCAAATTCAATTTGTAATGTTATTATACTGCCTCGTGTTGCTGTAAACACGGTAATTTAGTTAGATAGTCCAGTCGGCCTACGTACCACCAACATCAATGCGACTAGGGCTGACACTATTTAGTATTTTGATGTCAATGAAATTGTGAGGTAACCCTACTGCTTCACAGTTCTTAGCATACAATTTTTATCTTGCAGTTAACCTACACTTTGTACATCCTTAAATACAATTACAATCTAAAGTTTAATATGTTAAACAAAGCCTGTTTGTGACAGTGACAGCCCTAAAATCCATAGAATCGTGAATTGCTGTGCAGCGATGAAATAGACATCGCCTTTATGCTTTGAATTATTCCGTTCTTACAAATATAAACATAATGCTTTCAACCCATACTTGATTATACATAAAGAAAACGTCTTCAGAATCTTCGAAAACGACTAATACCTTTAACCATTAAAATCTCTTATGTCTATACAATAGGATAAAAGTTTAATAATGTTTTTGCAGCTTCAAAGATGGAAAGGCGTCGTACGGCACTGGCACAGGCACGCCAGCACGAGGCCGCCGCGTCATCTATTGCGTGCATGGCAACCCTAGCACCGGCTGCTGTGCGGTCATCGAGCGCACAGAGACGGACCCTGAAGGCTCAGGCCACCGCAACGGCAGCATCACTGATGCCGATAGTCAGTATTCATTATATTACCAACTTCACTACACACGCCAAATGTTATTGTCTATTGCCTACTCAGCATTGGAATTAATCATTCACCCCTATGCCTATGGAGGATCGGCACAAAATGCTGTTCTTCCATACATTTTTATCAGCCGTCATATCTGAATTCTTCTTTCACACAATCCATCCATACTTCGGTCTTCCTCTACCTTTGTAGCCATTGACAATTTTCAACCAATCCGGTACTGTCATTGACATCTTTATATCGTATTGGAAACATAAATACCGCTGAAGTCGTGAGTTATTCCCGTCCGAACAATGGAGAATGTCAGGGCTGTGCAAATGTTAGTACATCTGCCTTTCACAAGCCATCGGTATTTCTGATTATTAAACAGTAAGAAAACCTTTTTTTTTTCCAGGACATTGCCATAGATCTCGGAACGAAGACATAGACAAACGAGCGCGGAGAAAACTCATCATCGCGAGTATACTCTGCGTTATATTTATGATAGGAGAAATTGTCGGTAAGTACCACATTGTAACACCAGTATTTAAATTGCAACATCTTACCGCGTTGAAACTGAATAAAATATACAGGATGTTTGCTGTCTTGTCTGAGTAACCTTCATGAATAACGGTTGCATCTTATCTTATTGCTTATTGGCTGTTATGCGGCTTCATCCGCATGACATTGAAAACTTTATTTTATTGTTTAGATTCCGTAATACTTTAAATTGACAAAAATTAAATGCTCTAATGACAAAGGCCCTTGCTATTGTCTTAGGTAACCATGGCAACCATGATTCCTTGCTGATATTAACTTGTTTTTGAATCTTTCTCGCAGATTTTTTTTTAAATCTATAAACCCCCTAAGTTTAATAGCATAAAAATATAGCTAAAGCGTGTTAGTGTGGGATTATAAAATATGATTATTCAAAAATATGTGATTGCTGACATTTTTATAACAAAGAAGACATATACTAACGTGAGAGCTTATCTTAACTGATTTGAATTCTACAGAATTTCTCTATCTATACTAATATAATAAAGCGTAAACACACACTTCTTTGTGGCGTAAGATGTCAGCAATTACAGCATATTTTTGGATGTTCTTTAATAAAACACCTACACTTACGTCATGCTTTAGGCTATATATTTTCAGGCTATTAAACTTAGGGGTAATAAATTGGTTAAAAACCCCTAATGTGGGAAAGAGACCATAAGCTGCTGCCAACATCAAGGAAAAATTGCCATACTAAGGTAGTTGGTATTTTGAGAATTTAACAAATGTAAACAATAAAATATTTTTTTTTATAATTTCATGCAGATGAACCCACATGGGAAAAGCTAGTTATCAAATACAATTGTGTATCACACCAATGCATTCGGCAACGCTTGACCTAATCGATTATTGTTACTCGATTTAAAACAATGTCTTATTCAGGAACCGTAATCGTAAACCTAATTGTTTGGACCGGCTCGTGTATTGTTGTATTACAAGTTACTTATAAGTTATTGTTAGGTCATCAATAACATAACAAAGGCAATCTTTATAAAGAAAGATACAAGTTAATGGTATAGTAAGATAAAGTGAACGTGGTGAAGATAATGACAAGGAAACTACTGGAATCTCGGTCTGGATGACGTTACGTAACCCCCAGATAGAGTGGTTCTTTAGCAGTTTTTACTAATGTATGACGTATTATACGCAGTAGAGGCCGATATACAGGTCGATTCTTAACTAACAGATCACAAGCTCTGTCCGTAAAGAATCACCCTGTATCGTAAACGTATTCTTGTAGGTGGGTACATATCAAACAGCCTGGCGATAGCGACGGACGCGGCGCATTTACTCACAGACTTCGCGAGTTTTATGATCTCACTGTTCTCGCTGTGGGTCGCCAGCAGGCCAGCGACAAGAAAGTAAGTCAAATATACGAACTTCAACTAGAACTCGACCGAATTAAAAAAAAATATAGTAGGGGGGGCGAATAAAGTTTTTATATCATAAGGTGGCAAAAACTAGCGGCCACTAGAATTCGCCGATATAGCGTAATCGATGTCCATAGATATTTGCGATTGCAGTTGCATAGCCTACCTTTGATCTATAAAGGAGGGGATGTACAGAAAGAGGACATACCCTCATTCTATTTTTTTTATCCAAAAAAGTGGCAAACGAGCAAGCGGCCACCTAAATCTGCCAAAATGGCGAAGCGACCGCTGCCCGTAGACATCCCTAATTACAGATGCGTTGCTTACCATAAATCGACGAAGGAGGAGAAGCACATAAAGAGGATATTTCCCCATCCTATGCGTCTCCTCCACCGTCAAATCCACTTTCCCATCCATACTTCTCTTAAAGAAAAAGGTGGACGGAAAGGGACTAAAATTGAGCCTCCGGCACCAAATCCTGTGCGTCTTCTCTTCCGTTACATCCTATTTCCCTTTCTTCCCATCTAAAGTAAGGACTTAAATTAGCTTGGTTGCCGGTTGTAGTGTGATCCATCCTTCGACTTCAGTTAGTTCAGTTTAGGTGGAATCGTGGTCAAGCGTTTTTAGTTATGAATAAAAACGATGTGTGTTTGTAGGATGTCGTTCGGTTGGTACCGCGCGGAGGTGATAGGTGCGCTGACGTCGGTGCTGCTGATCTGGGTGGTGACCGGCGTGCTGGTGTACATGGCGGTGCAGCGCGTCATATACAACACCTTCGAGATTGATGCCACCGTTATGCTCATCACCTCCGCAGTCGGTGTTGCAGTTAACCTTATGTATGGACAACACTTCATTTTTTTATTTATTAATTAACTTACATAAACGTCTTTATAAAGTAACAAGAATTGGTAACCCATCGGGAGTGCACTATAATGAGTACAAATGCAGCAAAACAATGTTTAGGAATAACAACATAATGCACCTAAAATCTAATCCGATTTGCAACTATTTTACAAAAGAAAAAAAAAACTTTTTTCTTACTTGAGAGATATTACTTAATCTAATGTCTAATGTGACCGTTTGTGGCACAGGGGTTTGAAAACAAGACTTCTCCACAGGTTTTGGGTTCGAATCTCGCTATGTTTGTACATAAATCACATTTGTATTTGATTTTCGTTTTTTCGAATTTAACATGCACATAATTTATTCGACTTTCGGCACATGTCGGTGAAGAAATCCAAAGATATGTGAAGTCAATTTGTATGGGGCCAGCGCGGTTCATTAATTCCTAGTCGCCACTTAGGGTAGACTCTAAACTTCTTAGTGCTACGTATCTGATACGTCAGCCCGTATCTGATACGTAGTAATCTGGTGATGATGAATGCTCTCGTGTTTGCAGAATGGGTCTGACGCTGCACCAGCACGGACACTCGCACGGTGGGCACGGGCACACACACGGCGGCACCAACCCCGTACTTAACAATAAGGTAAGCGGTGACTAAATATAGCTGTTAGTTTCTGAAGATTTTCTAAATTGTTCAAATGTTGTTGTTTTCATTAATTAACATAATAGTTTGCTTATTTGATATCTTTTTATTTTATGTGTGTGTATTTTTGGATTATTGTATATATTAAAATAACTCAAAAACTACTGGACCAATTTTTGAGTTCTAGCACCATTAAAAAGCTATGTTAAAACTGAGTAATATAGGCTATATTTTTTATTTTAACGGGGTTGAGTCGCGACTAACACCTAGATATGTCGTCAGTATTCACAGTGGTAGAGCCCGCTTTAACATCTTCGCACGATTGCGCCGGCTCGTCCGGTGTAATACCACGACCACACAGAAAACAGGCGTGAAGTGGAAGCAATTCCGCGTTTCATCTGATGAGTGTGGTGCCGGAGGCCTAATTTTAATCCCTTTCCCTTTCTACCCTTTTCTTAAGCGGAGAGGGTGGGAAGGAAAAGTGGATTTGACGGTGGAGGAGACGCATAGGAAGTGGAAATGTCCTCTTCCTATGTTGCAATATACATTCTATTCTATTCTAAATTGTTTTCAGGAGAGGAATACGGACTCTGACGCGGAGAGTGCGTCCTCGCACGCGGTGGGGGCGGGGGCGGGGGCGGGGGCGGGGGCGCACGGCCACGCCCACACCGAGAACATCAACGTGCGCGCCGCCTTCATACACGTGCTCGGGGACTTCCTGCAGAGCTTCGGCGTGCTCGTCGCCGCGCTCGTCATATACTTCAAGGTGACCTCGACACGCCTGAACCTTCACACATTTCACACATCTACATACATACCTCCTTATCCTACTCCAGTAATGGCGTTACAGGTTTTTGTCCACATATCGTACGTCATATCACTCTCTCGGTATATCACACTCATAACTAACATCCTTCTTGTTATATGCGATTCATTCCTCCTCATAACGCGCCTATACCACGCCAAGACAATCACAGAAATAGATACAGTTGGTTATAGAGCCAAAAAGACTGATAAAACCTAAGTAAAGTAACATTAAAGAATCTTTTGAGCTCGATGTTGAATCACAATCCTATATATGTAAAAAAAATGTTAAACATGCGGAAGTTTAAATTTTTAAATTTAGCATACCTCTAAAGGATAGTCTAGAAGAACACCTGGTTTGCTTATTTTTTTTAAAGTTTCCACGCGAGCGGATTCCCGGGCGATAGCCAGTTTTAAAAGAACATTAATATAACTGCAGCAACGTAATTAAATCAAACACTCAGACCACTGCCGCCAGAATGGCGCGCTATTCTAATACGTCAGAATGACATTGACAGCTGTCAGATAGGGACGGGACGTATATGCCAATAATGTAGTGATGCGCCAATCCTTCTTAACACTACACATTACACATTACCCACCATCACCTCATATAATCATTAATTAATTTTAATTTCTTTTTCGTTTTCTTTACATTCTGTACATACTTATTTATTTTTATTATTATAAGATTCATTGTGGTCTGTGGGTCGGGCTCCTGGTGATCCAACATAGGACGCCACCCTAGTTTGGACGCCAGTCCCCTGCCCAAGGGGAAAATTAATAAAATTACTTTATTTTTAATTTTTTCTTAACACTAGTCAGTAAATAATCGTTTCTGTTTTGTTATTCTTTAGCCGGAGTGGAACCTGGTGGACCCGATCTGCACATTCTTGTTCTCCGTGCTGGTGCTCATCACCACCTTCAACATCATCAAGGACACGCTGCTGGTGCTGATGGAGGGCTCCCCGCGAGGACTCGACTTCCAGGTCTGTTTACTGGTTCAATTTTATAGTTGAATTTACGATTTAAATATTACTTTTGTATGTTAAATCCATACATTAAACTTTGTTACAACTGGATTAACGCATAGTCTATTAAACTTATAGTACAAAATACATTGTGAAATTCGCCAATATAGCGAAGTGATCGTTGCCCATAGACAACAGTAATTGCAGATGCGTTACTTTTAATACACAGAAAGCGACGCAAAGAAAAAGGCCAGCACGATATGTTGTACCAGTTATTATAATAGTACTGCCTGTTCTCGTGCGGTTTCATCTGCATGATATTATAAAAACTTTATCTTTTTGTTTACATTTGTCAAAAGCAAATGTCAAAATTATCGTTACCGTAATAACCTTACTTCCCTAATGTTGGCAGCTTGTAGTTTATGGTCCCTTTCCCAAAGGGCGGTTATTTTCCAATTTATTTACCCCCTAAGTTTAATAGCGTGAAAATATATAGCCTAAAGGATGATGGAAGTGTAGGGCTTTTTATTAAAAATATTGTGTGTTTACGCTTTATTGATAAAAGATAAAGGTGTGTATATATTGTGCGGTGTGGCAGGAGGTGGCCAACACGTTCCTGTCGCTGCCGGGTGTGCAGCGCGTGCACAACCTGCGCATGTGGGCGCTCTCGCTAGACAAGACCGCGCTCTCCGCGCACCTCGCCATACGTGCGTACTCGCACCACACCACCCCGCACCGCCTCACACCACCTCACACCACCTCACACCACCCCACACCACCTCACACCACACCACACCACCTCACACCACCCCACACCACCTCACACCACACCATACCACACCACCCCACACCACCTCGCACCACCTCGCACGACCTCACACGACCCCACACCACTTCACATCACCTAAGTGGTAACTGCACTGCAGGTTGACTTCACGCATATCTTTTAATTTTTACTCCCATATGTGCAGACATCACGATGTTTTCCTTCACCGTAAGAACTTCGGGTAAATTATGTACATATGAAAATTCGAAAAATCAAAAATCACATTGGTACAGCGGGATTCGAATCTAAGACCTGTAGATTACGAGTCAAGTGCTTAAACCACTGAGCCACCGAAGCATACGTACTCACTAAATGTCAACTTTTTTATTACTTTTTTTGATCGATGATATCTATTATGCCATTACACTTGACAAGTACAATTGGCCAGTTGCGATAGTCATAGATTGTATGGACTTACTGGCGCCAGTTAGCGTTCCAAATATGCCATTTGATTGACAGTCCAGTTATTAAACGCTACTGACCAACTGTACTGGCCTAGTATAATCCGCACATTATTTAGTCTTTTTATAAAGGCTGATATTAATTATTGAATTTGTTGTATTACAGGCAGCGGCGTCAGCCCGCAGAAGGTTCTAGAAGAGGCGACACGGCTGGTGCACGAGAAGTACAACTTCTTCGAGATGACGCTGCAGATCGAGGAGTTCAGCGACGGCATGGAGGACTGCAGCCAGTGCAGGATGCCGCAGGCGTAGCTTCCATACATACTAAGGTTACTAAACAGTTTCCACAGAGTAGTTAATAACAGAGGCATCATCAAATAAAATTCTGCACTTATGAAGGAACAGACATTTGTATAGAGTACTGTTGCTCGCGACTTTACCTGCCTTAAATAAAATATATAACTTATGTTACATTCAGTGATAATACATTTTTAATAGTGAAATTCGTCCAGTAGTTTTTGATGTTACAATACATCCAAAAATACAAATCTTTCCTCTTTATAATATTAGTAAGATTAACAAAGACTTACAAGAAACCATAGAGTAGTCACAGAGGCGTATTAAGAAAAAATCCAGTTTCTCAAGACTTTTGTCTGTTTTATATATCTCTCGGCACAGTGTAATTACACTTAGAGATTTTTATTTAGTTGTTTTTATCATAACGCACAGAGTAGCTTTCCCATAGAGGGTTATCATTTATTATCTGTGCTATTCGTTTTAATTATTATATATTTTCACTGTTTGGAGGCTGATTTTTAAAAGAACTTTTCGCAGTATTTTACTTCCTTTAATTTTAAATGTCTGTAGTTATAATTATAATAGGATATTTTAAAAATGAGACCAACAGAAAGTTAGATTATAAGAAAATTTACCGAAAATAATTGATTTTGATTTGTTACATAAAAAATAGGAAACGAGGTGCTCTATTTTCGTATGTGCCTTTATAGATGTTTTTTCTATACATTTTGAATTGTATTTCAATATTTATATCGAGGCTATATAAATAATATGTAAGACTATGAAGTCATTTTCCTCACAGTACAATATATTAATAATAACCTGATTACTTTCACAAAATGTTTACATTTATAAAGCCAAAGTAATTAAATGACAGAGGTTTTAATATTGTTTTACCTGATTATTAAAAGAATATTTGTTCATGTTTTTAAGTGAAAAGTGAATAAAAATTCTACTAATTCAGAAGGAAAACAATGCAATTGAAAGTTAAAAATTGTTTCTAAAACTCGCTAATGCAATTTTTGTATTCTATTTGTTATTTTGGAAGGAATTATATCGAATATACACAAAATGAATTAAAAACCGAATTTATTGTTAAAAAAAATATTATTAATTGTAACAATATTAAATATAAGATATACTATAGTATTTAATATAATGTAAATCATAATTTTTATTTGACCGGAGTGAATTTAGCTTCATAAAACGCGACAACAAACTATTTGAAGTTGGCAACAAAAACAAATAGCTCAAAACAACCGCAGGAGTCGAGAGACATTTTCTATCTCTTTCGCACTTGATGTATTCGTATACGTCTGTCTCGCTCACTTGCGTCCACAACTTTAGACACGCAATATATTCACATGTGAAACAATTTTAATATTAACTCAAAAGATTATTTGAAAAAAATAAAGAAAAACCGCTTTTATAACTAAACTGCTTAAAACTTCATGAGACATTGTCAAGTTACTTTCTTACTTAATAAGCTGTCTCTTGTATTTTTGTAACACTTTTATGAGCGTTACATCAAAGAAACTAACTTCACTCCAGTGAAATATGAATTTAACTGAAGGTACTATAAGTATATTAAAATGTTAGAAAAGTTTTTTCTTTATAATCATTATTAACTGATTAATAAAGATGTAATTTTAAAACGCAACAAATTATTTATTATAGATTATTAATTACCAAATAACTAATAAGCAGTATATCTATAACTTTCTATTTATATTTTAAATAGTATTATTTGCATATAACGTATGTTTTCAAAACTATGTATTTATATATTCGTATTTCTCTAAACGAATAATTTACATTCTTTTACCTTCACTGCGGAACAGGCCGATATCGACCTGACACGACACTTAAGCTGGTGCGGATGAAGAAAACTATATCCCTCTCGCTAGTGTGAAACAATTATCTCAGGTGTTTACATTACATAAAATGTATACATTATGTTTCCACAAAGTTATAGCAATTTAATCTATCTTTATACTGGTGGGTTCAAAAAGACCTGCCAAGCACTGGCGGAAATATCATTTGGGGGCGCATTTTGGCCCGCACAGATGAAGAATTATGATTTTACTTTCTGCAGTAAACGTGATAATTGGTGTTACTTTACATTCCTTGTATACTTTAACTAGCCGTTTCCGTGCGGCTTCATCCGCATGAAATTATGAAAATTTTATTTTATTGTTTACATTTGTCAAATTATCAATACCAAATGTTAAAATGACATGACGATGGCAACCTTGCTTCCTTAATGTTGGCATGGCTCTTTCACATTAGGGTTTTGATCCAAAATATATACCCCCTAATTTTAATGGCGTGAAAACATATAGCCTAAAGCGTGACGTAAGTGTAAGGCCTTTTATTAAAAAGAAGAATTATTTAAAAATATGCTGTAATTGCTGACATCTTAGGCAACAAAGAAGTGTGTGTTAACGTTTCATTATAATAGTTATTATTGAAGTATAAAAATATATTAAATATACATATTTAATTATTTATGGTCTATATATCGTATGTTTCCTTAATATTTTATCAATTTACATGAAATGTTACAAAATGGTTTACTAAAATTAGTTCCTAAACATAAGTTAGTAGTATTCAAATATTGATTGTACATATAAAATTATTTACATGTCACTATGTTCCGTAAACATCGATTAGATTTAATTATTAAGATTTATTTAATTAATGTATAATTTTTAATTGAAATTAATTTAAGGAAAACATTTTCAATAAAATGCATTTGAAATTTAATCCAATTTTCCTTATTTATTATATTTACCCCTTCCGCCATATACGGTACCTTTATAACATTTTGTTGTTTTGATATAAAATATAAAATAACGAGCTTTCGCCCGCGACTCCATCCGCGAGGAATTAAAAAAAAACTAAATCAAGTAGCATATGTGTTCTTCCAGACTATGCTCTACATCCATGCCAAATTTCATCGAGATCCGTTCAGTCGTTTAGGCTACAAACTCTAACAAACATCCATCCATCCATCCATCCATCCATCTATCTACACTTTCGCATTTATAATATTAGTAAGATTAAATAGGAAATTAAAAATAGCTAATTAAAAATAATCAATTTTTTATTTGTACAAAATTAAATATAAAAGTATGCAATTCACGTATTGTACAATTAAATAAAGTATATACAATTTTAGTGTTTATTCCCATTTGTCTGGTAAGCAACGCGTGCGCGTTAGCTTAGCGTAGTATCGCGCTGAGAGGCGAGCCGTGCGCGTGCGCTCCGCGGCCGCGTACTCCACGTCGTATAGACCGAAACGTTCTCTGTACAAAAAAATAAGTCACAGTGTATTCCAGATGCACTACCTTGTACTATTCAAAAAAGATAATCCCTTAATAAATTCACTCTTTCCTCGATTCCCACGTCCTTTCCAGAAATATACTCACGAGTATCCTCTAGTCCATTCGAAGTTATCTATAAGACTCCAATGTGTGTAGCCGCGCACATCACAGCCATCGTTCAACGCCTGATGCAAAGCGCGCAAGTAACTCGCCACGTACTGAACACGCCGCACATCGCGTGCCCCCCGCGGCAAAGACACGCCGTTCTCAGTCACCAGCACGGGGGGGTTGTTGTACGACACGCGAATGTAGTTCAACGCCCGACGGAAACCCCACGGTACCACCTGAAATAGACTTCGGTTAATGACAACAGCTGCTAAATCAAGGAAGCGTTCTCTGACCAGAAACAAGTAACAACACGGAATCTGAGGAAAGAACGTTTCAAATATTTGAAAACTTGTCGGTAGAGAATTAAATACGTACCCTTAGCCAAGTGGAATTAGTCCGCGGCCAGTCCGGGTTCTGTGTAATGACTACACCCATGTCAGTATAGAAGGAGGGCTGAGGGTAAATCTTGCCACTACCCGCCGCCACTAGACACGTGGTGTAGTGGTTCAGGCCGAGGAAATCGGAGGAGCCTCGTAGGGAAGTCACCTCTTCCTTTGTGAACTCCGGCAGACGAGAGCGTGGGAAGTTCTGGCGTTTGGAGATTTCTTTGATACGTTGCTTCATCACGGGCGGGTAGTCACCCTCGGGGGAGAAGATGGGGTGCGCAAACCAGCCGAACTGAAATTAATATTTATTTATCTTGCACTCGATACCTAAATTAAGTATTAAAAATCGGTAAAGCTTCTTCTCACTTGGAATTGTCGCGCCGTCTCAGCCGCTTTCTGGTCTTCAGCCGTCGTGCTCGCGGGTTCCATCCAAGCGAAGTCCAGAACTATGCCAACTGCACCTGTTTCATTTAATTAGTTAACAACATCTCTCTATAACACGAGTGTTTGGTCTAATTTTCTCTTTTCCTTACCTCCCGTGTGTCTGTAGTCGCGTTCGTACATGCGGTAGACATTAGCGTGCGCGCGCAGCACGTTGTGCCCGCAGAGGTAGTCTTCGAAGCCACTGCTGTTACCAGCGGGCGCGTCCGTGCCGCCGTAACCCTCCTGACAGAACGACAGCGGCTCGTTGAACGTAAACCACACCTTTACGCGGTCACTCAAGTGCTCGAACACAACCTGGAATGAATTAATGAGTTAAGAATAAAACCAATGGTGAATCAAATGAATGTATGTGGTGTACTACCTTAGCGTAGTCGTGGAAGTAGTCGGCAATGATGGGGTTAGTCCAGCCGCCGAGGTCCTGCAGCTCCTGCGGTAGATCCCAATGGTATAGGGTCACCATGGGTATGATGTCGTTAGCAAGTAGCTGATCTATTAGTTCGCTGTAGTACCTTATGCCATCCTCGTTTATGTCACTGGAATAAGCAATTTAAAGAATTAAAAGCTAAAAGTCTTTTAGGTCATAACAAATAGTAAATCGTCTTTTTTGAGGCAATCTGAATGGATTTTATAAAAATCGTCCTATACCAATATGGTAAGTCATACTTGCTAAGTCCAGTAGGCAGTATCCTCGGCCAGGAGATACTGAAGCGGTAGTGGTGCACCCCGAGCTCTACCAACAAACGGACATCTTCCTTGACCTGATGGTATGAGTCAGCCGCCACGTCGCCCGTCTTATGGTCGAAGATGCGTTCAGGATGGGTGTGCGTGTACCGGTCCCAGATACTTTCGCCTTTACCTGGTTTGTATTAAGAAATATTGCTTCGAAACAACTGTAATATATTCAGAATTTTCTTAAAGCCTAATACCTGAAACGTTCCAAGCGCCCTCTATCTGGTAGGCGGCGGTGGCAACACCAAACACGAAATGTGGCGGGAAACATACTTCGGAACTGGCTCGCGATGGTGTGGCTTCCACTCTACAAATACATACATTATAAGGTAACAAACCGAGTAACTGCCAGGATACGCCGTAATAATCACTGCCCTGCACTTGCAGATGTTTAATCGTAGGAGGAGTGCACGCACCAAAAGATATCTCTATGCGTCCTCTTCTCCGCTTTATCCACTTGGCATTATCTTTTTTTGTAAACGCGGAATTTCTTCTACTTGACGTTTATCTTCTGTGTGGTCGTGGTATTGCACTCGACGAGTCGGCTCATTCGTGCAATAGACGAAGATGTAGATGGCTCTACTACTGATAAACACACTAGTTGTAGTGGCAAAAGGTTGTATTATGTTAATATCATTCTGTTCCTAATCAGTACCAGTGGTAGGGAAAATTGGTTTTACATTTGTTTACTACTTTGCGAGGTGAGAAAACCTTAACCAGACTAATGCCAATTAACTCTACCATTCGAGGACATGAACTCGACCCTAAGATTAATCGTCGCCCTTATTTATTCGCATTATCATTGCATAATGTTTATAAATATTATCCAAGTGAAGTCTTATCAATACAATAATTGGCACAAATAACAAGTGCGAATTCCTATACAAAAATTCGATGAAATATCACTAACGCCAACATTGTCTATGGTCAGTTTGATCAGCAATATAATGAAAATGAAACGCAAATCATTTCTATAACATCAACACGTTGATCCAAAAAAATAACCTCTATCTTTTGGGAAGTCGATTAAAAGCATGATTAGATAAAAATAAAGTAGTTTTGTCAAAAATCATGTAGCTTTTCAAAAAACCTCAAACTGAAGAATAACAAACAATGCAGGATTGTACCAGAATTTAATGCAAAACGATCTTTTATCAACATATTGGTTACTCACCTGAGCCACAGAGCAGTAACCACTACAGCAATAAAACAAAATTTACTCTCCATAGTTCACACGAGCGTCCGAGCGAGCGCAATCGCCAACTGAGGGCGTGCTTGATAGCCCCTTGCCTCGGCGGTATATAACATCACTATATAAATACTTATGTAAATATATATAACATGATTGGACAGATTCTGCTACTAAGTCCTCTCTTAAAGCACTATCTTTCATGCAACACTATAGTACCACAACTTTCAAGCAACAAGCAAACAAGATGTATAAATCGAAAGTTTAGATGGATGGATGGATGGATGTTTGTTAAAGTTTGTAACCTACACGGCAGAACGAATCTTGATGAAATTTGACATAGATGTAAAGGATAGTCTGGAAGTACACATAGGCTAATTGCTTTTGGTATTTTTCATTACGCGCGGACGGAGTCGCAGGCGAAAACTAGTGCTAAATAAACGTTTGCTCAATTTACAACCAAACTTCAAGAATAGGAACCGAATGTTGGTAATCTTCGAATACTTCTTAGATCTGGGATACAGTCAGTCAGTAAATCCCACTTGTCTATCGGTGTAGCACCCTAGATGAGATTTCTACATCACCCCCTTCTTACCATATTCGGGGGGAGGGGTTAGCAGTTTTATGCATTAATTTGCTATGCTAGGAAGATCGGCCAAACGCCTTACCTAAGGTTATCGTGTGAAGATTCATGATAACAAGCTATTCTTTGACTGTTTGTTTTTTATAGTTACAACTCTGAATTGATAAAAGAACTCGGATCAACGCTCTAATATCGTTGAAATAATAAAAAATATTAGCATATCTATTATACGTTATCGTATGACTCAATTATGAGTTTCCAATGGCATTGACACTGTGAGCACCTTCCTACACTCTTATCGAATGCAACTTGTGATACAACATAAACGGGAAGCTGACTGTACATTGATGCAAACATAAAGTTAAAAATAATAATGTTGATCGAAAAACGAAAACCGACTTCAAGACATCTGGTACGCTTGTTTAAAAGAAAACTTAAAAACTACTCGATCCTTTTTAATATTCAAAATCTGGGACCAAATACCAACTATTCTGCATCAAAAAAATGAAAGAATCAGGTAAATCGAATCATAGACCGTAGAACCTTTTTGTAGTCGATTATAATAAGTGTAAAGCACCATGGACATCTATTTTATATTTACAAATATATTTTAGGCAATAATTGACAATAATTGACGTAAACATATGTAATTTAGTAATAAAAATGATTAACTTATGTTCATTTAGTTCGAGAATCTTACAAGTTATTAAATGAAGAAAAAAAACAGTATTTTCATACATACGTATTTTTGCTATTCGACGTTAGATGGCGCTAAAACGCAAAGTAAATCTAGAACATTCAAACAACTACTGTATGATGTCACGAATTATTCATTCTGGAAATCTCAAAGCGAGCGCTTTCTTGAATGTTCTTGTCAGTTCGCGTTCTTAACAAGAGGTGGCGCTGTGCCGACTATATAAAGCCCAATCGCGCGCGGAATGACGTAGTATTGTCAACGTGAATACTCTCTGAGAAAGCTTAGTGAAAACAGCAACAAGTGTTCGAAATGTCGATCATTCCGTTCTTCTACGACATGGAGAGACCTTTCCATTCGATGGGCAGAGATTTCTTCCGTCCATCGTACGATATGGTTCCTCGTCAATTCTTCAATCACCCATTTGTGAGACCTTTTGGAAATGTATTACAAGAATGGGAGAATGTGATGCGACCTATGGAACATTTGTCTGAAGCTGTCAATCGTCTGGCGCTTAATGAAATCGATACAAAAATCAGTTCGGACGATGAGAAATTCCAGGTGAACGTGGACGTGCAACATTTCTCTCCGGACGAGATCAACGTGAAGGTTGTCGACGGCAACGTCATAGTGGAAGGTAAACACGAAGAGAAGCGAGATCAACATGGCTACGTTTCCAGACAGTTCGTGAGGCGTTACGCACTCCCCAAAGGATGTCTGCCGGATACAGTACAATCTTCATTATCCTCAGATGGTGTGTTGACCGTCACAGCGCCTAAAGTTCTTCCTATGCCATCAATCGGTGAACGGATTGTACCAATAACTCCCACTGGTCCCGTCAAGAAGCAACTCAGCTCGCCGGAAATCAAATCCATCAACAGCGAGGAGCCTAAGGAATCTTTGAATTAGACGAATGCTGAGTAAAATTATATTCATCAGCTCACTATGCGTCCCCACTAAGAGGCTCGGTGCCTACCCTAAAATGATTTTGTGTATTACCAATTATTATTTGATCTGTAATATTTTTATTGTAAGACTGATTTATGGAAACCCAAAGGTGATACCTTGCTCTTGTTGTATTATGGTACATTATTTAAGTTTGTAAATAAATTTATTTCATGAGTTGTATTCTGTATTTTTATTTTGAGAATTATAGAAAATCGTAACGTATCTTAGTAAAGGTTAACTTCAGGCATTTTTTTCTAAAATCAAGTATTTACAGCAATTTATGTACTAAACTTGGTTTGCCAAAAATAACTTCTAAAGTTTTTTTTAATTTATTTACCATATGTTGTACTAATTTACCTCCAATTTTTTTACCAATTGCATATTTAAGGGTCTACCATTGTAAAATTGTCTAGTTTGTGTCTATCAATCTTGGGGCATAGACATCACTGAGATGTTTATATGAATTTAATGAAGACTACAATGTATTTTTAAAATCAGGGCAGCTTTTTAATAATAACCACCAAAGATCGTGGTACTACGAGCGCAGGTTCCGTTTTGCATTTAAAGTAATATCAAAATAAAAAAGTGGTAAAACTTATCTTACAATAATTTATTTAAACAGTCATTGCTAAACGTAATACCAAAAAATAAGCGTTGAATAAAAATTTAACTTGAAGTGAACAAAAGAATACAGCAGTTGGCGCAAATTAACGCATCGCAATTACTGGCCGTTTTCAATGGGAGTCTTGAGAACTGCAGGTGCCTCGCCGTCGTCCAGCAGGCCCCAGGCGGACTCGGGCTGGGTCTGGGTCCGTACGGGCCCCGTGTGGACCATTGGCACCACCCGCTCGTCAGGCGCCTGCGTCGGCAGCGGCGCCGTCACCGTGAGCACGCCATCGGACGACAGGCGTGACTGCACCGATTCAGCACTGCAGCCCGCTGGCAGCTCGTACCGTCGCCGAAACTGTCTGCTCACCCAGCCGTGCTCGTCGCGCTTCTCCTCATGTTTGCCTTCCACCACCACGAACCCATCGCACGTCTTCACCGTGATCTCCTCGGGCGCGAAATGTTGCACGTCCAAATTTATTTGAAACTTGTTCTTTTCCGCTTTTATGGTAGAAGAAGAGTCTAGCAACATTTTCGAGAGCTGATGCCATGGCCTGTAGTATTCCCGGGTCTGGTTAAGCACACCAAACAACTCGTCAGGGGCGAGCGTCAGCGAGATGTGTTGGTGAGGTCGCCGCGGGGCGTCCAGCTCCAGCAACAGCGGCAGAAGGCTCGACATTTTCCCAGCTATGTCCCTGTTTGCAATAAATGACGGCCGGCTTTCACCTGTCGAATACACCACTGCGCAGACAGCTCGCGCATAAAAAAGATATGGCTGTCGGATAGTTTTCAGCCAGACATTAAAATTTTCAGTTTTGAGTTCACGATGATTTTAGCATTAATTACGTCGTTTCATCACAAAAAAATGAAATAAGTGCATTTTTATGACAAACAAATTTAATTAAATTAAATTAAAATGCGATAAAATTAAAAAAAATTAATGCACCTAAACTCTGTCACATTAAAGTGTATGTCAATGTAACTTTAATACAAGTGTGTATTATTAGTAAATCAAATTAAACGCATTTTTAGTAATCTTTTATCCGATTCATCACTATCACAAAATTGTTTCCTGATATGACTTTATTTCAAAATATTTCTTGCCACGACTACATTTTCATGTATGTATAGTGTGGACGCACCTTTATATTCCCCGGGCAAGTGTATTGATCGCGGATTATACCAACCTAGTTACCTCGTACATGAAGTTGCACTGAGATGCACTGAGGTTAGGGTTGACAAAATCTGATAATTTTAAAAAAATAATTTAATTTTGTTTTTATATTCAATATTTACTACCGGTCCGTTCTAGCTTTGCAATGGGGGGCTTTTCTTTTCTTTTTTTTCTAAATTTTCGAAATATGTTTCAGCCAATCTAACGATATTATATTTGGTCTTTGTTACGAATAATGTAATTATCAATCTTATTTAAAGGTTGAATTTATTCTTCACCTATAATACAAAAATATAACCAAAACCTACTTAGTGAGCAATTGCTAAATTATTTTGGCAGTAATTAAGTTACGAGTACATCAGTTACAGTGGTAGTGCCCGCTTTAACATCTTAGCACGAATAGGCCGACACGCCCGGTGTAATACCACGACCACACAGAAGACAGGCGTGAAATGGAAGCAATTCCGTGTTTCGTCTGATGAGTGTGGTGCCGGAGGCGTAATTTAAGTCCCTTTCTCTTTACCACCCTTTTATTATAAAGAGAGGTTGGGAAGGGGAAGTGGATTTGACGGTGGATGAGATGCATAGGAAGGGGAAATGTCCTCTTTATGTGCGTCTCCTCCTCCGTCGTATAATGGTAGGCAACGCATCTGCAATTGCGGATGTCTATGGGTAGCGGTCGCTTCGCCACTTTGGCGGTTTCAGGTGGCCGCTTGCTCGTTTGCCACCTTATGTTATAAAAAAAAAAAAAAAATCAGTCTTTTACTAATGAAAGTCAATTTTAGAATTGTAAAAAAATCTAACATTCCCAGGAACAAATCATATTATTGGGTACAGACACATTTAACTCCTACATTCAAAACTTGGTAGTTTTATTTATGTTTTAGTATTATAGGTATAAAGCGAAATTGACGATTCATAAAATAGATTTTTGTAGTAATTAAAAGACTAATATCTGTTACTAGTTTTTGATTAGCGGCATATTAATATTCTGTAAAATATTATCACGTAAGGAGCAAGGGATAATGAAGGCATAATATAAAATCGAGATTTAAAATTGTTGGGTTGGAAGCTAAGTGCTGCCATCTAGGGAACACTTAAGACATTTCATTACTTTCAAAACAAACATTTGTATTGTTAATCAATACTTAATTTTCTTTTATGTTTTTCACGATTATTTAAAGGAAAAGGAAAAAAAATCAACGTCAAATTGATATTAGTAGAAAGCTGTAGTGGTAATAATAACTTTCTAGAATGCTCTTCTAGTGCAACATATGACCTCTGGTGACGAGTAGTAGAAATAATAATCAGGTGTCACAAACAATTAGCGGCTCATGTCAAAATATGGAAATTGTTAATTTTAAGTCATTGAATAAGAAATTGATAGAATATAGAATTTATCAATGCTTTAATGATGTTTCGATGAATTCACTGTTAAATATTTTGTAATTTTTAAAAGTACTTACGTACTGAGAATTTATTGTGGCGACAATTTTAAAATGACCAAATTTTTATTAGTAAATTCATAATGAATTAATAATCTATTGAATATTTTGATATGTCCAAAAAAATTACAATTTAACATATCAATATAATTTATTTGCATTGACGTAAAACGCATATAAACAAAAAAATGTTGGTAACCACTGTACGGGCGTAGTCGCTTCGAGTAGTTTCTAGACGATCTGGAAGTCTCTACCTGTCGCGAGATGGCATTTATCGGTATAAATGTTGCCGCCTACAATACTTTGGCATCAGTCGATAACATTGCGATTGCGTAGTACATGCTAGCGGTACCGGCGAATTAGTAGTACTCAGATTTTCTGCGATATTACTGCACTGTGACTTGTGAAGGTGATAAAAAATCCTGTGAAAATGTCCATGTATCCGTTTTTCATTGAATACGAGCGTCCGCGAACTCGTCGTTTGACGGACCAACATTTCGGCTTGGGTCTGACACCTCAGGACTATTTGACAATTCTTGCGGTGCCTCAAGCTAACAGAGACTACTACCGACCCTGGCGGAACCTTCAAGCTTCAGACCGTGATGAAGGATCCACGATTAAGGAGGAGAAGGACAAATTCCAAGTGAACCTGGACGTCCAACACTTTTCTCCTGAAGAGATATCGGTGAAGACTGCTGATGGCTTTTTAATCGTGGAAGCTAAACATGAGGAACGTGAAGATGAGCACGGTTTTATTTCAAGAAGCTTCACCAGGAAGTATCCTCTGCCTGAAGGTATTGAGGCCGAGTTGGTGACGTCAAAACTGTCTTCAGACGGTGTCCTCACCGTCACAGCGCCATTGAAAGCACCTCCTAAGAACTCTGATGAGAGAATCGTTCCTATCATCCAAACGGGACCTGTCAAGAGGCAAGGTGAAGAAGAACAAACTTAAATGTCTCTATTTGTTAAACATTTTCGGCATTTAATGTATGGTTGTATTTTGTTAATTGCTTTTTGTATGAATGTATGTTAAATCTTTACTTTTAAGAATTAATTAAACTTCACTCTAGTCCCCTTTCTTTGTTGTTTGATTATGAAAAATCAAATCATTTCGTCATTATAGGATTTGCTACCCCGATTCATAAATTGATTACCTGCTTTAACTAATTGGGAATGTGCAATAATAATTTTAATAATAAGTTAGTGTTTATTTGACTGCATTTTAGCGAAGGGAAAGACTTAAACCAACTCTAACTAACTTTGATTTAGTTAACTAATTCGCGTTTAGAAAGCTACATTGTCATCATGAGGAAGGATATGGATTTGACAGGAAATATATTTATGAGACACACGTTGTTTATCACTCAGGCGAAGCTGGGATGTATTACTAGTTTAAAATAATCTTGATAGGTTGTTGCATTTCACAATAAACTAGAATTTTCATTCATTTGTTTTCATTAGAAAATTGAAATTACAAAATTTATTAGACTCCCATCTATCTTACGTTTGCTTAATTATTTATAGGTAATATAATTTTTGCTTTATATTCTCAGTTGAACACTAGATGGCGCTATAATAAATTACAGAATACCGCTTTTATTTCAATTTAATAACGGCAAGTTATACATCCTACATGTTCAACAGAAATGTTAGTTAAAAGAAGGGGTGAGAATTAAATTTAAATAACAATATTTGCGACAAAACTTTATTTAATCGTTCATTACGTTATTTTGAACAATAATTTATTTGTCCAGATACACCTACAATACGCAGTTTATTATCTCGCTCGTGTGCAGGATTCACGGCGGCTGCAGTCTTCTCAGTTTCAGTCATTTTCTTTGGTTCATTGTCATGTTTTTTTCGTCGTCGTGGATTTATGGCACTCTTGTTTATCTTATTTGGGTTTGCATTTACCTTGGTACTTTGCACAGAGCCAGTGAGACCAAGTTTGATCTTGGCTGCAACTTGTTGCTTCTCTTTTGGCGTTGTATCGAGCTGTCCAGAGCTTGAGGTAGACATTTGGTTTACAATAGCATTACGTTTTCCTACATTATCTTTATTTTCACTGCTTGAGATAGCATGTCTATCTTTTGGTGCAGATTTTTTATCTCTATTCCCGTTCTGCTTGGAAATCGCCTCTAACACACCCTTTACATCGGAATCTTTTTGTACTGCTAGTGCTGGCTCCTCAGTTTGCTCCTGCAGTTTAAGCTTGGCGAGGTCGTCCGTTATTTTGATGCGCTCGACGACTTTAACCTTCACGGTCACTTTCAAGCTGTTGCCGGGTGGCAACGAATAGGAGCACCAAGAGATCCTTTCCTGTGCCTCGATCCTAGACAAGTAGCGCTGTATCACAGCGCCTTCTGCAGCGGTCTCGGGTACGAAGCGCACGCGGCGACCGAGCGGGTAGACAGCTGGCCGCCTGCCTACCGCCTCTGTCAACTCTCCCACATGGTACTCGAGGTTCTGCAGACGCTCCACCATCAGTATCGGCTGCCGAGGGTAAATGTTGATCTCTTTCGTTTCATATGTCACCTTGACCTTGTACGGTTGCTTCTTTTTCTTGCCTTTGACATCCGAGGTATTTGTAGACGCAACCGAAATAACACTGCTAGCTTCTTCGCTAGGTGTAGAAGAGCCAAGGGACGCTGTGGCGCCTTTACTACTGTTACTTGATGCGATCACGGGACGGGATCCATCCGATGACTTGACCCGGAGATCCCCAGACGATGTTTTCTGTTTATCTTCAGGGGCTAATTTTTGGTGAGTTACCTGAGGTCCGGTTGCAGCAGTCATTGGCTGCGTGGCAGTCCTAGACTGGGACGCCTTCCCAGTATGTGGGGCAAACGCAGGGTGGGATGCAATTACTGGGTTTATTGGACGAGGCCCTTGGGATGTTAACACCGGTCGGGGACCAGTTGGGAGGTGTGCTAGTCGCGGAGCAGGCGAGGGCTGGACCGGGTATACCGGGCGGGGCCCCATTACCGGGTACACTGGGCGGGGGCCGAGTAGGCAGTACCCCGTGCGAGGGCATGTCGGCACGGTGTACGTGACGTCGGGCCCCACAGCGCTAGCTTGCAGGTTGGCTGAAGCAGGCGCGGCTTGTGCCTGCGCGGGGACGGCAACGGCGCCATTGCTGCTCCCAGCAAACTTGCTTTTCTTTCTTCGTGTCATCTTCCCTTTCTAGTGTTGACACACTGAAGTTAATCTATTAATTCAGTTGTAGACACTATTCAATTTGCTTGCGCACTTTCTTGGCAGAACAACTAAGGTCAATTCTCTTCTTATGAGTGGCGAGTTTAATTGCACAGGGTTAGTACACGTCGTGAGATCACAGCGTATCGCCGCGTGTGATATGGTTGACTGCAGCGTCGAGGACAGGTCCGACCAGTACTGAAGTACTGGCCGTACTGTGCCTGAACATCGCTCCGTCGCACTATTTATGCGCCCGCGGCGTCTGACGTCGCTCGTAATACGTTATCAGTTCATGGGTCAAATACATTGACTAAAAAATTATAACCACAGGTTTTACCGTGACGTTTTCTTGTTCAATGATACGCAATATAAAGAAATTAGATTAATATTTACATATACTAGGGGTTACCCGGTAATTTAGAGTTTTGGTAAAGCTCGGTAGGTTAAAGCTATAGTTTTAAAAAATATAACTACATTTAATTACTAAGCTGTTTTAAATAAACAATTTTGTACTTCTAAAGCTGTAATTCAATATTTTTTCTATATTATACGTTTGATATCCATTGGTTTTAATATCATTATTTGTTTATTACTCATTGTTAATTTATTACATTGGTAAAATATAATTATCGATTCCAGCTTTTTACACGTTCTTTTTTCGTTCTTTTTGCTGCTAAATTTCTGATAGTCCATTCGCTGGGGGCATCAGCGTCTTACATTGGCCTACCAATCCCGGAATATTGTACGGCTGATAAATATTGTATAAAAAGGCAGTTGTTCCTTAGTGGCTCTATATGGCTGTGTGAATTCAAAGACGTCCAGGTCTTATTGCTTAGTTGGTCGTTGCTGCCTGTTTTTATTTTAGCTGTCTACTTTTTCCTCTCACTTTTTATTTACTCTGTGTAACGTTGAATATAATCGTCCTGACACTGTAAACAGGACATAATTCATAAGAAAAGGGAACATACCTTCTTGTAACTAAGTTTTTATTAGTGCCTTTAGGGTTCCTTAACGGTCGCAGCTAGCTAGCCTGTATGATCTGCACTGAATAAATTAATTTACATTGAAATGCAATGTGCTTGATATGTTATCAGCGATTCCGTAAGTTTTCTATCTTACTTCTTACTAATGCGAAAGTTTTATAACATTAGTAAGAAGCGGAATGAACGGACAAGAACGAAAGCGAATCGATGGTTGTTTGTTAGAGTTTGTAGTTTAACCGCTTAAAGGATTTTGATAAAATTTGGTATAGATGTAGAGGTGGATTGGAAGAATACATAGCGTACTTGCTTTTGTTTTTTTTTAATTTCCCGCTGACGTAGGCGCGGGCGCTAGTTCATTAATAATTACAGAGTGTTTAATCTTTTTGTATTTGTTCTATGCCTATATTATTTGAATTTTTAGCTTTTTTTTTACCATTTGTCAACTATGTTTAATAGTTTTAAGTTATTAAGTTTTTTCTCAAGATCGAATCGACTTAACGACAATTATTTCGAAATATTGTGCAATTAACTTGAATAACGTTGTGCAATGTATTCATAAACAAATGAAACTGTTGCGATGGGGTTAACAAAATATTGAACACGTTTTTGTGAACTTTTCGATCTTCAGTTTCATCTTCAGATTATTATAAAAATAATAACTCCAATTAACCTTGTTGATAAATAATTCGCAATTGTTGATAAGCAATATGTTTTTTTTTGGACCAAAGATCCTCTTACAAAAAGAGCTTTAAGTATAAGTTAAAAGAAAATCAAAATTCGAAACTTTGGATGGATGGATTTGTTGTAAACAATCTAAAAGAACACTGCTTATTTTTTTTTATACCGCGCAGACGAAGTCGCGGTCAATAGTTAATCATATAAATATTATAAATAATAGTAAGAATAGTAAATAAATAAATACATAGATGTAGTAAGGATCGCTTTGCTAGCATGATATTTAATGTAATTAAGAAATGATAGTGGTTGGCTTATTTCCTGTTAGGTTTAAATGTGCGTCATGAATGTGGTCGTTAACTGCTTACTTAGACAGTCGAAAAATTGTCAAATAAAAGTATAAATTAACTAAATATAGTAAGGTGCGTATAATCACTGGAGACCCATATCATCACCAGCTCACTATACGTCCCCACTGAGGGGCTCGGAGCCTACCCTAATTAGTAACTAGGTCTTAGTAAGCCTCGCTGGCCCACTGCGGGTTAACTTCATACATATCTTTGAATTTTTCCGCCGATATGTGCAGGCATCACAATGTTTTCATTCACCATAACAACGAGGGATAAATTATGTACGTATGAAATTCTAGTGCTCAAACCTCTGAGCCACCAACCCTCATAGATGACTTGTCAGTTTGTCATTAAAAGATTGGACCACATGTTGATAAGTATTATCCATAAAAAACAAAATAAAAAACTATTTCTACTACCCCTTGATCTTCGCTCCTTCACAAACAGCGCCCTTTCAGAAAGATATATTATGCCTGAGTAACACAGGATACATTTAACAGCATTTTTGAATCCCATGCAGATAATGTCGGGAGCAACAGCTAGCTGATAAATTTTCTAATATTTATTGGGACTTGTGTAACATTTTGCAATGTAATTTATTAACATTGTGCAATTAGTGTCACCGAAGGAAGTGAGGTAAAACCCAGAAAAATAACGGTAAAGCGTATATCAGTAGCTAAAACAACAATAACATAAGTTTAATTAATATCGTTCTAATATCAGTTAATTACAATACATATTTCATTACAATTAGAATTAATTTACGAATACATTAAAAACAATTAAAACACAGAGGTAATAAATGACGCATTTGTACATCACCAATATTAGTTTTAATTAAAATAA